TATTCTCTTTCTATGCCTTTTGACTAAGAATTTAACTTTCATTTTTTGTTGTTATGGTAAAGACATTTGCTGCTTGATGATTTTTGTTTAAAAAGCTTGTATTTTATAAATATACAAGGCTGTTGAGTCGTCACCTGTTTATTCAAAAATACATGATTCTCCAGAAAATAAATTTACTTTGTTCAGAGAACTAGGAAATGTGATAATATTTGTAGTAATTTAATAATATACAAAATTGTGATTGATGATGATGAACCTTATAAAAATGTTTTTTCTCTTTCTCTCTTGTTAAATTGCTCAGTTATGCAGAATTAAACAATAATGTAAATAATGACATTTTTGAATTGTAAGAAAAAAAATACTGAAATGAAATAAAATTGAATGAACTGAAGGTGGAGAATATTTTTGTAAATAATATAGTACAATACAAAAGTGTAAAATTATATTTGTAACATTAGCTAGCACAAAGATTGTTTTAATAATTTATTAATATTTTTGTTAATAAGCAAACATGTTTTAAATATGTTTAGAGAGATCTTCCTTTTGAGATATTTTTAAGAAAATTTGAATAATTTAGATGTGTGCCTGTACATTATTTTTTTTAAAACAATTTATTTGGTTTTGCAGACACATTCTTCTAGAAAGTATATTTAAAGTAATCAAGAATAATTTAGTATTTAGTAATAATAATTATTTGTGGCTTATTAGCAACATTCACATCAAGGAAGTGTTTGTTCAGTGCTGTATGTTATTGTTGTAATGCATAATATGGATATCTGAGCTTAAGAGAAGAGACCGTTGTAAATGAGCAAATATTTGTGTCTCAAAATTTGTTTTCCTGTTATCCTTTTAGGATGATTGTTTCATATAACTGTGATGCTATTCCCATGTGTATAAATTAATATTATGTTTATATTTACGATGAGAGATACATAAGATTATCATTACACCTTGAATTTATGAGGAAATTGTTTTCAAGTTTGCTTTGTCTTACTGTGTGATAAAGACCACACAGAAAGGCTTCCTTCATTTATGGAAAACTAAACCTTAAGCTCTTTGAGTTTCCATGGAAGAAAACATCTAGGGTAATGTGTGAAAAATTTAAATGTAAAACCAGCTATGATATTTAGAGGGTCTGGCCGACTTTCTTTGGGTGTGTCTTCACGGATATCGCGTTAATTGCAGGCATCCGGGAAATAGCATGAGCTGCTTAGCCCAGTAAGAGCTGCGCTTGTGTGACGTCACTATTCCGCGAAAAAACAGCATGGTCAGGTTTAGAATGTAGAGGCGTGAACCACAGACAGGCATTTGAATCAGACCGTAGTTCACTTTTTTACATTTATTTGAGAGGGAATATGTGATGTTCTGACGTGTCTTTTTTTTGACATAGCCTATCATGTAAGCGATTTGTTTAAGATTATTTGTTTACTGTGAAAGATATATCCTGACGAAGTTACTGAACTTAAAGACTTAAAGATGCTCATATTACTGTTGACTGCGTAAAAAAAAAAAAAAAAAAAAAA